AGCGACGTGCTCTGGCTCTTGCGTCGCTTCGGCATTAGACGTGCACTAGATGGCAAAGCATCTGCGAGCCATCATGTATACGGTCACAATGGATGCATCGCGACGAATTTTGTAGTAGGAGGAGGAGGAAGACAGAGGAGGAGGAGGGAGGAGGGAGGAGGAGGAGCAGGAGGGAGGAAATGGAGGAGGAGGAGAAGGAGGAGGAGGAGGAGGATCAGGAGGAGGATCAGGAGGAGGAGGACTCTCTGGCGGTGCCGTTTTTCTTCCCACTACAGTTTCCCTTTGCATCGTTTATCGTTGGTGTGCGTTTGTGTTTGTGTGACGTGTCTCGTTACATGTTTGCAACCTCGCTCGGCCCTCGGCTCTCGTGTTTTTTTTTTTTTTTTTTTTTTTTTTTTTTTTTTTTTTTTTTTTTTTTTTTTTTTTTTTTTTTTTTTTTTTTTTTTTTTTTTCTCTCTGTTTTTTTTTTTTTTCTTTTATTTTCTTTTTTTATTTTTGGGGGGGGGGGGGGGGTGCATTGTTTGCGATCATTGGACGCGCGAGTATCATTGCATTCATGGCTGACGCCTCTTCCGAAAGATGCATTTGACATTGGGTCCCTCATCCCCCTGTTCAAACTCCCCCCTTTATATCCTCATCCTCCTCGGCTCCAAACGCCACGATTGAAATCGGTTGCCAGTGGAGTCAACATTCACACTTACCAGACATATTTCAATTGACTATTCGCCTCTAGCACATATAATGACAGGGCAGCGTGCACCGAGAGATGTTCCGAGCTCACGTGATTTACGCACAGCAACGCAGCGTAACTTGAGTAAGCAACAACCCAGAATCGCGATCATTCCTCGAGCCGGGCAGCCAGGACTGCGAGGATCACAAGGTGCGTCTGCATGAGAGATGAGTTGAAAGGGTCGAGCAAGTGACGACTTTGGAAGATCGCGGTGGGTCTCATACATGTCCTGGCTCCTGCCCTCCAACAACCATCACGTATCCTGAGACGTTTCTCCCCGAGCCGCTCTTCCCCGAGCTGGAGATTCATCTGATCGAAATACCGCAACCGAGCACGAGCGCAAGCCAGTGCAAACGCAGGCGAGCAGCAGCTAAAGAAAAGAAAAGGCGTGCTCAACAATAGCTCTCACTGATCCCACCCGCTCGACTCAGCCCCAACACAACAGATTCTGTCTGTCTGCGACACAACCGCGGCCCGACCGCCTCCCGACCGCCTCCCGACCGCCTCCCGACCGCCTCCCGACCGCCTCCCGACCGCCCCCCGACCGCCCCCCGACCGCCTCCCGACTGTCTGGAAATCATATATATATATATATATAGATATAGGGTTTGGTGTCTCCCGACCGCCCCCCGACCGCCTCCCGACCGCCTCCCGACCGCCTCCCGACCGCCTCCCGACCGCCTCCCGACCGCCTCCCGACCGCCTCCCGACCGCATCCCGACCGCCCCCTGACCGCCCCCCCGCCGCCGACCCACGACCGCTCCCAGACCGCTCCCAGACCGCTTCCCCATGAGAAGTTCGCGGCTTCACGCCGCCATTGCGTGTCAGAGCAGCGTAAGCACCATCAAAGTCGATGCGATATCGATTGGCACTTACTGGCCGACCTCTACAGAGAGAGAGGGAGAGAGCAAGGCGAGAGCAAGATAGTTCGAACTTTGCAGTCAGCATGAGTTGGGGAGGGTCTGAGATGGAGTGGGGAAGCAAGAGGAGACGAGAGGAGGGCAATAAGCAGTGGGTAGCAGAGGTAAGAAGTTAACTACTGCGAGACATTGGATAATGCAACTGCATAGCTGCAAGCAAACATCACCGTGAATCACCGCGTCTGATGCGTGTAAGATTCATGCGGCAGTGACAGTCTGGACATCGTGACATACGCTTGGTGACCCCTCGCCTGACGCAAGGGGTCGGCAGATGCTTCACCATATATTGTTCCTTGTCTTCTTCCTCATCCTCATCCTCCTCCATTTCCTTCCTCCTGCTGGTCCTCCTCTGTCCCTTGGGGCTCTTCCGATGATTAGATGCAAGGCTCCCTCATCGTCCTCCTCCTCCTCCTCCTCCTCCTCCTCCTCCATCTCCTCCTACTCCTCCTCCTCCTCATCCTCTTACTCCCCGAGCTTTCCAGAGGTCAAACGCCGCCTGGTATAATCATCGCCAGTGCAATGCACTCGGCGGCCACTTGCGGCGAACATGATTGCTACTGGGGCCCCTGATCCATCACCATGGCGTGCATATCCTTCATGCGCTTGATCTGGCGGCCCAACCCGTTCAGCTTCTCCTCGTGGGAATCGCAACTCGCAAGCACGTTGTTGAGGGACCTCTCGTCGAGAGAGATCTCGTCGTCACCGTTCAGGATGGCGCATCCGAAGATCTCGCACTGCTCAAGTGAAGTCTTGACGCAGCTGATCTGGGCCTCCAGTTTGCCTTTGAACCCTGGGCCCTTGGCCCACTCCCACTGAGGATCGGAGACACTCTCGCTATGCTTGATGTTGTCCAGCATCTTCTGGGCCTGGGCCGGGCGCTCCGGAGCAGGGGTTGAGAGCAGGATGGGGTTAGAGTAGACGTTTCCTACGACTCCAGGTCCGAAGGGCCTAGATTAGACGTTCCCCGATTTGATCCGAGGTGCCTTGTGACTGAGCGAAAGGTAGCGGCCCAGTACCTCCTGCACTTTCTTGCCGACGGATTTGACGTTGACGGGGGTGCCCCTGCTGCCGTTGCTGTTCTTGCCCTTGCTGGTTTTGCCCTTGCCGTTCTTGCCTTTGCCCTTGCCGTCCTTGCCCTTCCCGTCCTTCCCCTTGCTGGGTTTTCCCTTGCCGTCCTTGCCCTTCCCGTTCTTCCCCGCTTCGTTCGCCCCCTTGCCAGCTTTCTCCTCGCCGACAACTTCTGCGATCGGGTGCGGCTGCGCGCCGGGCGGCGGCGTCATCTCCACAGAGCTCGTCTGGCGCGGCGGCGGCGTCACCGTCGCCGACCCCGACGCCGACGACGCTGCCTTTTGGGGGGCGGCAGGACGCGTTCAACAACTGATTTGACCAGCGCCTGGGGGGGGGGGGCACCATGCCAAGACGCAACAAGGCGACATCCTATAGTTACAATTGAGGCAGGGCTGGCCTAGCCCAGCCCTTTCCGACGGAGGGAGAGAGCTCGACGGGATGCAGGGTGCCCCGAGAATCTCGACACTTGTTCCCATCAT